GCCTACATCAATGCCTCAGGAGCCGAGAGGGGACAAGGGTGTCCCCGTGGGTCCCCATGACAGCTGGAGAGCAGGCTCAGACAACAAGGCACACCGAGAACACCTGGACAGCGCTGGCAGGATCAACAGCTGCCAGAACACCCATCCCTGCCATCCCCGGGATCTCCACCCGGGCTCAGAGCCCACAGTCAGCATCACAGCTGACCAAAGACCCCAAAATGCCACCAAACCACGCGACTTCCTACGCGCAAGGACAGATGTCCTTGGGGCATGTGCCTCCGCTGCGGTCAGGCGGACGTCCCCGCGCCGGAGGAAGCGGTCGCCGCTCAAACCCACTTCCCCAGCGGACGCTGTCCCCCGTCCCGCTGCAGGGAACCCCCCAGGGTTCCCAGGACCAGTTTGGTCTGCGGGACAGGATGCGAACCAGGACGTCACCGCTGCCACCAGCGCTTGGAGCTGCAGGGTGACGCGGTCAGGCCCAGCCCATCCGGGACATGAGCAGTCACTAGAAAACACACCGAAGGGGACCATTAATCACCAGGGCTGAGGAAGGGAGAAAAGCGAACGTGGCAGCTTCGTCAGCACCGCTCGGCAGGTGAGGAGACCCGCGCGATGGGTCCGGGTGCCTTCGGTCAGCTCGCCCCTCTCTACAGCAAACAGCCCCGCAGATGAAGAGCTCCAAGAGAGACCACAACAGCCAGCACGGCCGCAACAGCCCAGCACCGTGTCTGGGAACCGCAGATTTGTTCTCCGCTCGACCCGCTGGGACACCCCGGCAGTCCCCCTCCCCACAAAACACCCCTCTCTCGCACCGAGCCTGGCTACGGCCGGAAAGGTTCGGCAGAGTTTGGGCGGACCGCCTGCCAACCTGGCTGCTGCTTTTATTTTAGGTGATTTTTAACTGGGAAAGCATTTATGTCTTCAGACTCTTCTGGGCAACCAGGGAGGCAGTTTGCTGGGGTTTGGCCAGGTCTGGACTCCCCGCTGTATTTTAACAGCGCGCATTGAGCCCGCTGCTCTGCAAGGAGAAGGCAGACACCTCCGGCAGCCCAAACTCGCGCGCCCATGTAGCTCCTCAGACTTCCAAAAAGAGAAAAAATACCAAAATAACATAAAAATCACACTTTCCCAGCAGAGAAGCGTGCAGCGTAGTCACCTCAAAGGCTTTCTTTTCCAGCTGATGTCGCTTTTCAGCCTCCTGCAGCTTCGTGAACAGCCTTTTCGCCGTCTGTCGGATCTTTTCCACGTCTTCACCTGAGCAGTCCTCCTCCTGTGGAGACAGTAACAGGAGAGGATGAGCAGTCGGGAGGTATCAAAGGAGCCCTCCGCCCCAACGTGGGCAGCGCTGTTGGTGACAAAGCCTGGTAACATCACTTCTCAGCTTGAAAAAACGAAAGGCGCTCCCGTCCTCGCCTCCCACACTTGAGCGACAGCTTCCAGCCCTCAAGATAACGTGCACACTATCCTTTGGTTGCCTTCCAAGCCCTGTTTGCAGGATGCCATCCTGATCCGCGCTTGGGCAACCTGAAACCCCGCAACATGAACCAGGTCCACAGCCACCCAACCCGAAACCCCAGCTCAGAGCATCTGCCCCGGCCAGGGGAAAGATGAAGAGCTGGAGAAATATTTACCAGCTTAAGATTCCTGTTATCCCTTCTGCTAAAAAGCTCTTGTGTGCAGAGGTTTAAAAACCTATTATGCACATTTTTATTGCTCTAATAGAGCTGCACTCTGTTTCTGATCTGACCCTGATAAAAAGACTAGAGTTTGCTGCAGGAGCGCCTGGTCGTGTGCTGAACAGGTTCGAAGTTACCTGCTGGGAGGGAGATATCAAACTAAAACCAGTATTTCTTTCCATGGCGCTGAAATCCCCCTCTTTAGCTCCGTACCTGGTCCTCCCAGGAATCAGCACGCAGCCTCTCTGGGTACAGCCAGCTCCCGTTCTGCTTTTCCAGCATGACCTACGTAAGCAAAGGACAGACGGACAGGGATGTAACGCCGGCCAGCACAGCCGCTCGCGCGAGAGCGCAGTCGCATGCAGACAGCTAGCTCTGGGGCACCGCAGCAACTCAAGACCGAGGTTTTTTTCTGCAAATGAACATGCAATAGTGCATTTGGCCAGCCAATGCGTTTTGCTTACTGACTCCTCATTACGTGCTTGTGTGGGTTTTGAATTTTGCCTGTAAATGGTGCCAACGTGGCTTTCATTCGCCACAAGCGTCTCGATCTTTAAGGCCCCTTCTATCATTTTCCGGACCCGAAGATGACATCTTTTTAATAAGTCAATGTCATTTAACGCCCGAGAAATGCTCCCATTACCTGTGCATGCTGTTTATCTCCTTGTCTGTTCTCAAGTTTACTACTTAAGTCTTCCCGCAGCTTCTTCAAAGAACTTCTAGCCTGGCAAAGGCAAGTCAATTTAGCTTGATCTGCATGGACAGTGTCACTCAGCCTAACAGAAATCAAACGAAGGCGCGGCGGCTGCTACGATGCCCTGTGCCGATACGCAATCAATGGCTTCTCTGCCAGCCTGACCCTCTGGTTTTACTACAGCCCTGCCTCCAAGCAGCACCATCTCTGGCAGATACGATCCTTGCGAGGCAGCTGTCCCACACGATCATGGGAAGAAAAAAAAAAATTTAAAAAAGCAACAGTCTGGAGATGCTACTGATTTTTCATGCATTAGTCATTGTCTTCACCTTTGAAGTGCTGAGAAGACCCTTGCTGTTCCCCAGCTCCCTCTCTGCCACGCTGCAGGACGCCGACAAGTACAGTCTTGACTTGCAGCTACTCGAATTAGTCAGAGCAAGTGAGCCAGAGGAATGATTTACAGGCTTTTACAGCAAACGCTGCCCCAACGCTTTTCAAAGAAAAGCTTTCTCAAAGCATTAACAGCGTGGCTTCATCCCTAACCCTTGATTTTAGATGCCCGAGGCGCTGGGGCGAAGCAGTTTGCTGGAGACCGGGCAGCAGCAGGGCAAGGGACAAGGCGAGAGCACGACATGCGGCTGTCAGGTCAGCAGTCGAGCCTTTAACCCGGGGACAGCGATCCGTGACTTTGATCCAGCTGGATCAAGACATCCCCAGGGTTTTCACACCACGACCCAGCGCAGGGCACTTCTCTTGGATGCGGACAGACTGGTACTGCCACCGCGACTTACTGGTTTAGCTTATTCTCTGGTTTTCACATGCAGGATTAAGTCGTACTGCACAGTTATGCTGCTTCAGCTATTCTGATAGGGCTTACGTACAGCCTTTGTGGCCAGACAAGGTCTAAGTCCCGCTCAACTATTGCTACAAGGTCCTTTTAAAACCCGACTCCTGTTTCCACCCGAGCTGCGGGGAGCTACGGGAAAGCTCAGATCAGAAGAGCTGAAGTCGAAGCCCCAGGAGTGGGAAGGATCACGCACAAAAACTGCAGCATCCAGGTGGCTGCGAGATAAGGTCTGGGTGAGCAACAGCCCCGGAGCGCTGCGGCCCTGGGCAGGCGGGAGCCAGGCAGGTCTGGGTTGCAGGCAGGAGGCAGCGGGAACAGGCTGTTTTCTTTCGGGGGGGAAAAAACATGCGTTTTGGCAGAGGAGTCAGAAGGATGACGTAAAAGATCTGGAGGCCGCCCTACCAGATCTGCCCCTTGCTGCTCCCTGGGGCCAGCACCCAGCACAGAAACTCCCCCATGAGAGCAAACCCAAATTTGAATTTTTTTTTTTTCCTCCTTTTTCTCTTTTTCTTTTTTTTTTTAGGCCAAGCTGCCCAGACCAGAACATGCACGCAACCGCTTCCACGCCTTGCAACCAGCTCTCCAGAAATAACATCCCCACCAGGAGCAGAGGAAAGGGTTAATCTTCCAAGAGCCTCATCATCCAGTTTACTTTGGGAGATGAGACATACCAAAGAAACTGCCTTTTAACAAGAGGCTCCGGTTGTGCCGCACCCAGGCATGCAGGGGACAGCCTTGGGGGAAAGTCATCACGCAATTCTCTTCAAATTCAGTCCATATAGCAGAGCAATTAGTCAGGCTGAATTAATTTATGGCGCTTGATTAGACTACTGCCCTGTACAGGCAAGTCAACAAACTGGAGAGTTCAGCTCCGCTGCCAGTTTGCCAGAGTGGTTGGGGCTCAGCCGGGGCTCAAGTGCCACAGCCGGCGCGGGCATCGCCGCC